GGGTAATCGGGATGGGTGTGTCAGAGGCAATGAGATTGGCACAGGATCAAGCACAGTTTAGGGCTGTTGTACACAGGGTCGCTATGAGTCGCACATGACTCGACAGTACATAACAACAACAACAACATTTGCCAAACTAAGTTAGAGCTATTTTCCCCTTATCGTCCTTTATCATCTTCCAAGAGCTACCAAGAAACAATCTTTGTCCTTTTGCTACTACCTCATATTTTCATCACATATTTTAAGGCAAAAATTTCTCAATCAATATTTATCGCACCTTCTTTTTGTTGGAAATTATTTCATCAGCACTTTTTCTGTCTGCGCCTACAAATTGGGTCACATTAATAGTAAAAAGTCACATTAATCCTTCAGAAGTTTCTTCCCATTGTTATTTCTAAGGATGACATACAATTTCATATAATCAAGAATGAATCAATCAGCAGATATTTGTCTTTAGCTATTTGCATTTCTTCTCTAGATCCTTTTGGTGACCTCCACACTGTACAATACAATTAACTATTGTTCACTGTAATGATTAATATTGTTATTTCATTTCACTCCTTAGAATCAGTTCCATTTCATACCACGTTCTCATGATAGAGTATAACTGCCACACAGTGTTTTCAGGCTGTAGTCTATCTATGAGAAAAGATCACTAGTCTTTTCTCCCAAGAAGCCACTCGGTGAGTGAGCCACCAATATTTCAGTTGGTCAAATGCTTAACTGTTGAACCACCAGGACTCTTATAGCAGTTATAAATAAGTATCTATAATAGGTTATGTACTGTGACACTGATGTGTCAAATGTGATAATGGCTACCCATGGTGGACAGTGTTTGGTGGAGCTCCCCAATTAAAACAAGCTTGGAAGCAGGAGTGGCATCCACTTCCAAAATAGCTTATACCCCCAGAAACTCTATGAGCATGGAGAAACTACGAAAGTTATACAAGTGTGCATGTCTTTCATAGCTTTGATATGAGTCCTTTACGACTTGATGGCACCTAACAACAACAACAATAACAATAGATTATGTTACCTATGACATCAACTATTTATACAAAAATTGGGTTATGAAAGAAGAAAGACAAAAAGAATTGATGTATTTGAGCCGTGGTATTGGTGAATAGTACTGAATAAACTATCAAAAGAATAAACAAGTCAATTTTACGAGACACACTATACTAGAAAGCTCCTTAGAAATGAGGATTCTAAGACTTCGATGTTTTCACTTTGGAAATAAAATCAAGAAATATTAGTCACTAGAAAAAGACATGATGTTGGCAAAGTGGAGGACCAATGAAAATGAGGGAAACCCTCAGTGAAATAGATTGAAACAAGCTGAAACTGTGTACTCAAATAAATCAGCAATCCAAGCTGAAACTGTGTACTCAAATAAAGCAGCAATCCTGAATAATGTGCAAAACAGGGCAATATTTTGTTCTGTAGTAGCAGGAAACAACAGGCTTGGTGACAGAAATGGCATATACACATATAATGGAATGTTACCACGATGCTCCGCTGTAATCCCAAAGGTTTGTAGTTCAAATCCACCAACTTTCAGCTGCTCCATGGTAGAAGGATGGACAATCTCCTTCTGTGTGATTTACTACCTCTGAAAAACCTGTTGGTGGGTCTACTAT